CTGCCCAGGGAAGTGGTTGAGTCACCATCCCTGGAAGTATTTAAAAGACATGTAGATGAGGCGCTTAGGGACATGGTTTAGTGGGCATGGTGGTGGTGGGTTGACAGTTGGACTGGATGATCTTAGAGGTCTTTTCCAACCTTAATGATTCTATGATTTTATGATTCTATACTTTGGCCCAACACTGGAAAAGCCTGGTGTCCAATAAAAATGAAACATGGAAGCACTAGTATATTAGTAAGGTGGGAAACTCTGCTGAAGGTATTTGGGGTACTAAAGATGAAGATTTACCATAAAGAATTGCAAAAGGACCCTAAAAAAAAGTCAAGTGACCAGACAATAAGGCTGCACATAAAAATTCAGTGGAGATAAACGTAATGTGAATAAATGGGGAAAAGCAACTTTACATATAAAAGGATGGGCTCTGAGCTGACTACCACCACCCAGGAATAAGATCTTGGTGTTATGATTGACAGTTCCATGAAAACATACTCTATGTTCAGCAGCAGTTCAAGCAGTGTATCAAATGTTTGAAAATTCCAGGAAAGGAACAAGAACAAACAGAAGATATAACCACACCACTGAATATATTCAAGGTTAACCTGCATTTTGAATACTATTTGCAGTTCTGAACTGGCCACACCACTGACAAGATCCCCCTCATCAAGCTGTCTAGAGATGTGGATGGTTAGTGTGGCCAAAGCAGAGCCTAAGCAAACTGTAATACTAGGTTGTTTTGAATTCAAGCATAAGCAAAGTAATACAGTATAACCATAGAAGCGTTTCTGTACCCAGCGGCCCAGCAAAAGTATTGTCACTGCTAGTAACAGGCCCACAGGCCTTAGGCTAACTGCGTCTTACGCAAACAGTGCAAGGCCCCAGGCTGGCCTGTGAGGGTCAGGCTCATCACCAACTTGTTATGAGAACATGCTGAGTGAACTGGAGCTTGGTAACTGTTATCTCGTTATAATGGACTGCTAAAGTGTGGGAAATAGCAAAGGCCTTGAAAACACGGGCACTTGGTTGAAAATAGAGGCCACAGAACAATAAACTGATAGTGAATTACTGAAGAAGTACAATCTCAAGAGCTACAAAAAGACTGCTTTTGCTTTAGGAAAGGCAGCAGCTGATAAACTGAGGGGAAAAAAAAAGGCAGGGGACGGGACGGGATGGGGGACGGACGAAGCCAAACAACAGGATAAGGCACTTGCTGTGGCCTGGGAAAGTTATGCCTCAACAACCTGAAGCAGGTAGTCACAGGGGAAGCTTTAGTTAGAAACTGTCTAGAAACCCAGCCATCTTCCAGAAGAACAAGATGCTGGCCTGGGGGAGGTTGGAGGATTACCCACTAGCACTGATGACGGAACATCAGCTCTGTGCTGCTGTACCTTGCAGTGAATGTACAGTATGACTGTTAAGGACTAACTGCTATGTAGTGATACTGATTGACAGTGTTTTCAGCAACTAAATATTACCATGAAGTGTGTTACTAATGAAGTGTTAGTCTGAAAGTTTTAAAACTTAAAACTCGCCTGATTTATCAGTCGTCTTAAGACTCCTACCACAGGGTGCACACACTCACATGCATTCAGTGGGAACACCAAAGGGATGCTGATGAGGAGTAAAACGCCTAGAAACGGTAAATGGGGTCTCTGGATGGACCTTCAGTCAGACCTGGAGTAACCATTCCCACAGAGTGACACTCTGCTCCAGTCCTCTCGCAGGCCCCCGTAACATACTCACACAGGTATTTCAGTGGGGAAACAATGGGATTCTGAACCTGACAGCCTCTTGGAAAACACTGTCCTATTTCATCGAGTCTTCCCTGAATCGTTTCAAGTGCAGAAAAGTGACAATATATAAAACAGCTTATTCTATCATATGTACAAAGCCCTAGGTTTCAGTCTTACTAAGAGTAAACAGACTCTTTAGTGTTCAGCTACAAAGGACATGCATAGAGGACTAAGTAACAGTTAAAACTGTAGTTTAAAATGGCAGGATTCTAATCAAGTTGACAAATGCATTAGCCAAACAGTACTCTAGATCTTCAAGGCCTGTATTCAAACACATGCATGTAGAGTTAGGTAAGTCCACTTTGTCAGACTACTAGGGAAGTTTATTTTACAAAAGCATTACATGTGTAACTCTCACCTTTTTTCTTTCTGGAGGTATAACGCGTGAAGGTAAGTACGGGCGAGAAGAAAACTTGTTCCGGAAATCTAGAGCTCGTAGAAGTTGTTCCTATTGACATGCGAAGAAAAATGAAACAAAATAACACAATCCTGTTATATCACGAGTTTTTCTACACAGTGACAAAATTTTAAGCTGATTTCATCCTCCTCTTTTCTGGAGCAGAGGCTAAGAAATCCCCTCCATTTTACACAGAGAAACAACAATTTTGGTTTTGCTGTGGAGCAGAGGGAACAGGACCGCTGCGCGACGCCCCGTTCCCGCGCAGCTGGCCGCTACACGCCTGACAGGACCGCGGCGGCGAGCGGCGCCACTCCCCGAGCGGCCCTTCGTTCCCTCCTGGGCGGTAGCCCAGGCACTCTCCATCAAGGCTGCTTCCTAGAACGCGCACAGTAACACAAGGCGCACCCCTCCCCAACGGGCCTGACAACGCCTGCCCGCCACGTACCCTGTAGGCACTGACGACGAAGGCGACCCGCTGGCGGGTGGTCTCCGCCGGCTGGAGGGGGTGGGCAGCGGCGGGGAGCGCCGCTTCGTAGAGGTACTCGCAGCCGCAAGGAGACAGCAGCAAGCGGGACCCCCCCGCGTAGTGCACCTCCACCGAGTCGTCCGCGTACAGCACCATCAGGCTTTCCGCCTCCATCTCCCCGGAAGGCCTAGGCGGGACCGCGGGGAATCGACAGGAGGCACCCCCGCTCGGGGCG